ACTGTAAAATTCATACTTGACTTTAATATTACAGCAGTTGGAAGTTATATATTCCTGACTGTTGGTAAGCAGTTTGTTTGTCGTAATATCATGGTCTTGACAAGGTGGGCATCAATGTAGTGTAAGAGCCTAGGACTTACGTACAAGGAAAATCAAGTCGAACCTCGTTACTATTTTGTGCTCGTGCATTTTGAGTGTAACATTAAATTTTAATATTGAAAGTCATGTAGGGATGATCTATGTATAACTGTATCATTCCATTCCATTCTTTTTAGCACTGCCATCCCTACATCATTTTACATTTAGAAAATGTATTTTATTACTTGTATTAAGCTCAAAGTATAAAATGATGCAGATTTGACATTATTATTTTTCAGCATTTGTTTTCGTTTTTAATTTCGTTAGGAATGAAATATCTACTAAAATCCAAAAATTATGACTACAAATTAAATACAAAACAAAAAATGTTACATTTAAACATAAAATTTCTTGTGTTTTATTTTTGTATTAAAACTAACATACTGTTACGACAGCGGGGTTCACGTGACGCTACTAACACGTGATATTCTCGAACGTTCACGTCCCTTCCTGAAGCCTCGAGAGGTTATTAGATATGCGGTATTCTTGTACATATAAGCCGCCAAGAAGTGACGGCAACAATGTGTAATTGAACTGCAGACAGAGATAGAGACGTATTGTTGAGTCGAGCACGTGAGTCTTCGTTGTGAATTATAGCGTTTGTTGAACTTATAGTGTGACCGTTGAAATTAAGTGAATTTCAAAGTTATATTGAGAAAGAATAAACTAGTTTTATTTAAGGAAGGACTTGTGTCGCTAAAGTTTCATCGGAAAGAATTTTTACGGAAAATTAACTAACGACCAGAGACGTAACAATACGCCTTTATTTGCAATTCTTACGTACGGTAAAGCTTTACGATGATGTACAATGTCTAAGTGTGAGATCAATCACAAAATTGGAAGTTTAACGATAGTAAGTATTAGAAATTATGAATGAAAGTAAAGAAGAAAACAATAACACGTCGACTACACTATTTCAGCTATATCTTGGCGAAAGTCTTATCCACAAATGAAACCATGCCGTTTTGTTGAATGCATTATTACGTCCTGGTGGGGTCAAAACGAATCCCATGATTTGGATGATGGTTTATTAACAGCGCTTATTACTACATCTGGTATTCTTTGTGTTTTACATAACAAGCGAACTACGGCACTTGGATTGGACATTATGTACTTCCATCTACAGTATGCTACCCACAAATTCTATTTACTACTAGCCACATAATATTAGGCAACTGATTTTACCACCACTCATAGAAACTCTCCAAAATCCTTTTATTCCTTAAGCCAAATAAAACTCTGTCACAATTGGTTTCATATTGTCTTATTGGTCCTATGAATGTTTTAGCCAGGACTTTGGAGCGTATTTTAGTCTTTCGACTCTACTGTTTTATTTTTGACAACAATATAATGCCCTAACCATAAGCTGGGTTCAGCCTCAACTTTTTACCTTGGACCAGTTTCTCCGATTGCCTGATATTATCACCAATGATTTTTATACCAATCGTTCATCTTGTTTTCTGATTTTTCACTTAATGAAAGCATTGATACCGTTTGGCATCGTGGTTTAATCTATAAATTTCGCTCCATGAAAGTACCTATTACTTACGTTCCGCTTGCAAATTCTTTTCATCATGAATGTTAGGCTGTCATATCACTGGAGAGTACCATATCTCGACCCTTCCTCGTCTCTGCAGATTTTCTACAGACTTGCTAGGTTTATCCGTCGCAGAAGCCCATTCCACCTGCTGAGTATCTCCTTAAGATCTAACTGATGTCTCTTCTAGTGGATGGTCAAAATTTTATTCTGCCCTGATGTCACTTCTGCCACCTCATATATATATATATATATATATATATACATCTTAAATATTTTCCCATGTTCACTGACAGTTACTACTCTCTGCATACTTCATCTGTGTCCACTACTATGTCTCCCGCTTAATTCTTCAGGCTCATCCCTCCTATATCAATTGATTTTTTTTCTTTTTTATTAGCACCTGCCCATCTATCCTTCGAGAGATTCATACGTCTGAATCTTATCCCGGCTGAAGAAAATGTGTAACTCTCTGCTGGCCCACCAGTTTCCTTTGGGACTGTATTGAAATGGTATACTAAAAAACTATACTAAAAATAATAAAAACTAAAAATCGTGGATAAAAGTGTAATAATTTGCAAGTGAAAATGGCGCCTAAAATTGGTTCAATCTAAAAGAGTTATCTTATAGGACTTTCCAACGTGAAAGTTTGTTTGTTTATTTTTGAATTTCGCGCAAAGCTACACGAGGGCTATCTGCGCTAGCCGTCCCTAATTTAGCAGTGTAAGACTAGAGGGAAGGCAGCTAGTCATCACCACCCACCGCCAACTCTTGGGCTACTCTTTTACCAACGAATAGTGGGATTGATCGTAACATTATAACGCCCCTACGGCTGAATGGGCGAGAATGTTTGGTGTTACTGTTAATATTTATTATATAATTCATACTTCAGTCTACTATTTTACCTATTAAGTTTTAACTAATAATCTCAAAATAAGCTTCAGTTAGTATACATTAGCACACCTGTTACATTAGATAAAAAATAATTTCAGAATGCATTATATATGTATTAGTAGTGTCTACATATTGCAATAACAATTTCTGTATAGATTATTTAGGCTGCCAATAAAACAATCAGAAATAATTCAAAGATTATTCAAATTTGGAAATTTATTATTACTATCATTGCAAAAGAAATTTTATCCTAGATGGCGTTGAGTTTTGGTTTTGGATTTGCTTGTTTCTAGTATATTTGGTTTCATGGTAATTTTGGTACTTTGTGTTGGCGAAAGCCTACCGTGAAGTGTAATTTTGTAATGACAAAAATAACACAAAGATTCCGTTTTTCCATATCAAAGTATCAGCATGTAAGTATTTTTTTCCTTCTCAGAGTATTTAACTGAAGTTGAACGCTCACTTTCTTCAGTCGGCTTTTTTGTGTAGCGAATGTGGCCCTATATTTTGCTTTATGAATGAAAGTACATCTAAATTGTGATCCAAGTGCATTGGATATGTTATTCTCCCATTGTAGTTGTTTATTTATTTAATTTTGAACTGAAAATGACTGATTTAATAGCATTACAATTTAAATTACAGTCCACTAATTCATTTGGCTGTTGCGATTAAGTTGTATTTACATATAAGTTTAGGTGTTTGAAAACGTGAAACGTTAAATTATTTGAATAAGTAATTTCCAAGTGTAATACTGATAGCGAGGTATCACTATAACTTATTGTCTGACTCATGGTATCACTAAGTCAGTTAAAGTATCTTAAAAACATTATGAACACATTGCTGAAGATGAGTTACGACTTACGTGCAAGTGGATCGTGACGTCGTTGAAGTTGTCTATTCTGTTTTCGTTACATATCGGAAGATAAATACCGAAGTTGTTTTCTTATTCATTTTTGACGTTATATGCAAAAAAATCATATTCTGTATTTGAATTCTTCTAATTATGTATCCAACACAAAAGTCGCGTAATTTTCATAAGATATATGTAACTATGTCCCGCACGACTATTGTAATAATAACTGATGTGTGATACCCTTTCCAGTTTTTCCATAAAAAACAAATATGTCTTGCATTTCAATGTGTTTCAATGCTCACATAACTTGGAACTAAATACTGTTCCAACATCAAACACGCATAATTTTCGTAAGACCTGTAGCTATATCTTACATGTTTGTTTTTTTGTTTAAATAACTATTATATAAACACTATTTCTTTGTTTTCAACCTGATTACTAATTTTTGGAGTGTACAAAGCTTTTAAATACTTCTTGATAAAACTATCAGTTAATTGTACAGGAAAACCTTATGTTTTGTATTTCTTCATAGAAAGAGGAAAAAGAACTAATTATGTTATAAGCCGGATGAATTAAATTATTAATTAGGTTCTTTTTAGATTCAAAAGGTAAAAACTATCAAAATGAAAATATTGTCCTGTAAAAGTTGGCTTAGTGTTAAAACTTTTACCTAACTTAACAATCTTGGTATCAAAGAAAGGTATGCTATTAGCTGTTTGTTCTTCAACTGTAAATCTAATATTGTTATGTTGATTGTTCAGATAATTTTGAAATTCTTGAATATCAAGTTCATTCTTAAAGATTCTAAAAGTATCGTCAACATATATTCTATAGTATAATGGTTTAAACTTTTCCGGACAACTTTTTAACCACATTTCTTCGTAATAACTTAAAAACAAATTAGCCAAACATGGTACAACACTTTGATCCCTAGCTACCCCATCAAGTTGTTCATAATGACAACCAATAACAAAAATTTGACTCTTTGGTGATAAATTCTAATAGTTATATAAATACAGGTTTTGTTATACCCCTAACAATATCGGAATTTTGAAAAATTAAATTACTACTTAACTCAATTACTCCATTTAACGATAAATTTGTATATAAGGACTAAATGTCAAGACTGGCAATATAGACAGGTTCGTCAAAAGCCAGTTTAGATACAGCTTTGGAAAATTCAAAACAATTTTTTACCATAAATTCATTAGTTATATGAGATGCAAATAACCTACCAATAAACCTGCTAACTTATAAGTGAAAGTATCTATACTTGACACAATTGGTCTAATGGGACAATTTAATTTATTTATTTTAGGTAATCCATAAAATATTTCATAATGAGAACTGTAACGAATTTGTTATTATATATTTATTTTATTATCTACATTTGTTTAGATTAAATTTATCAGTTAACTGAATTTCAGGCTATTTAAAATTCTAAGAATTACTAAATTATCAAATGAGCTAAGATGTTTTAAAGCCAAAAATTCTTCTTTTGATAAGTTATTTTGAACTTTCTTCGGGTCAAAACCGTAGTATCCTGAAAGTGCTAAACCTGAAATTTTAGTAACTATGTTATCAAATGAAACATTTTCTTCACCTATTGATATGCGTTATAATTTCTGTAATAACTGTTCAAAACTACATAATCCATTTTTTTAGGTGTAATTGAAAACTTTAAACCTCGTGATAATACCTTTTCTTTTGCGTGATTTAACTGATCATCTGAGAGATTATAAATGACCTGTGTAGGATCTTCTAAGAACGTAGGCACACTACACTTCTCACGCTTTAATTTATACAATGTTTTTATTTGTTTTAACCTTATTTTTATGACAAACAATCACATTATAGAAATGTACAAAATCTAAATTTGAGACAGCTTCTTTCAAATTTTCTACAGCATTCATCCATTTATTTTGCAACTGTTTATATAATTTCAGATTAAATGTCAGTTTTAAATTTAAAAACGTCTTTTGTGAAAATCTATAATATTTACTAGATCTTAAGTTATACTTAGCCAATTTAAACTTCAAAATCTTCGGAACCAAGGCATATTGTACACACTCATTTAAAAAATGTACATGCAATCTCGTTTTCTGTAGTCTTAAGTAAAGTTTATCAGCAGTCCTAACTTTTTTAACACATCTTCGTTGTATCTTTTCCGAATTATATGAAACAATGAAATGTTTTAGGAAAACATAGTCTTAAGGTAAATGATATAATTAGTGAGATTATAAACATAATTTTCATAGAAATGAAAACATGTAAAAATTACAGCATACTACAAAAATAAAAAAATACAGTGAATAAATAAACATACATACAGTTAAAATCCACTAAATTAAAAGAAAAACACGCACCCTA